AGGTCAGGCGAGTGTGGGGGCCATTCAATGGTATCAATTCCTTCATCCTCCAGGAACTGCCTGCATATTCTCGCCACATGAGGCCAGGCATTGTCATGTACCAGGAGGAACCCAGGACCCACTGCATCAGCGTGAGGTCTGACAATGGGTCCAAGGATTTCATCCCGATACCTAATGGCAGTCAGGGTGCCATTGTCTAGCCTGTAGTGGTCTGTACATCCTTCCATGGATATGTCTACCCAAACCATCACTGACCCACCACCAAAACGGTTATGCTGAACGATGTTACAGGCAGCATAATGTTCTCCACAGCTACTCCAGACCCTTTCATGTCTGTCACATGTGCTCAGGGTGAACCTGCTCTCATCTGTGAAAAGCACAGGGCGCCAGTGGTGGACCTACCAATTCTGGTGTAGAATGGCAAATGCCAATTGAGCTCTATGGTGCCAGGCAGTGAGCACAGGGACCATTAGAGGGCGTCAGGCCCTCAGGTCACCCTCATGAAGTCTGCTTCTGATTGTTTGGTCAGAGACATTCACACCAGTGGCCTGCTGGAGGTCATTTTGTAGGGCTCTGGCAGTGCTCATCCTGTTCCTCCTTGCACAAAGGAGCAGATACTGGTCCTTCTGATGGGTTAAGGACCTTCTATGGCCCTGTCCAGCTCTCCTAGAGTAACTGCTTGTTGTCTCCTGGAATCTCCTCCATGCTCTTGAGACTGTGCTGGGAGACACAGCAAACCTTCTGGCAATGGCATGTATTGATGTGCCAAGTTTAACGCCAAGTTTCCTCTTTTTCTGTACAAACAGGAGGTGGTGGCAGTGTGAAGGGTTAATTGCATATATAACCTGACCCAGTAACAATCGCCCAGGCTGCCGGTACATCGATTGTGGTCCATTAGTTGGAAAATCGTTGTGCAGGGGGCAGCTGGGTGTGGCACTGTTACGCACGTCACATCACGGTTCTAGATCAGCTAGTCCTTCGGTCACGAGTTTGGTGAGAAGGTCTGGGGTCTGATGCCACGATCGTGACAATCTCCACCTTTAAGAACCACTCGTTTTGGGGGTCATCTCATTGTTGCCCATCTAGTGAACATTATTAACACCAAAGCAGCTGAAACTGATTAACAACCCCCTCTGCTACTTAACTGACCAGATCAATATCCCAGGAGATTAATTGACTTGATGTTATACTCTGATTAAAAAGTGTTCCTTTCATTTTTTAGAGCTATATATATATATATATATATATATATATATATATATATATATATATATATATATATAAATAAAATGTTTCAGGGTTCTGAGTCATTTTCTAGCAAAAAAAATATTTTACAAGCAGAGAAATGCCGGAATTGAACAGAAGTGGTTAAATTGTCACACCTTAGATGTGTAAGGCTGCACGTCCCACCTGCGTGTTCCAGGAACAAGCACAAAAACACGCACTTGCAGAACATATAAAAAAAATATTGTTGCGCTTTGCATTCCCCATTCACACCCGTACGTTGCACTAACATGCATTTTTTCCACTCAGCTGCATAGGGCAGCCCATTCATTTGAATTTCCGGCTCCTTTATTGGGGGGAGGTAGGGGGAAGCTTTCTGCCTATCTTACCCATGTCACAAAATGCTTCCTAGCTCGGTTTGAAGTGCCATTAGGGATTAAGAGCAACACGCGGGTATATACATGTGTGAATGGGGCCTAATTCTCAATGGCACCGCAGAAGAACTCTATAAACACAAAAAACCACAAATTTCTAAAACCGCAAAAAGTGCAGCAGCTTAACTGGCGCATTTCAAACAAATGGTCTGCCCTTCGCACACCATATAACACCCCTTGCTGCCGCTGCACTAGAGGTGAATGGGGCCTAACCGTCATAAATAAGAACTTAAAGCAGCTCAGTCACTAAACTCACACCCTCCCATCACAGCTCACCCTGCAAAGTATAGGGAGCTAACAGCGCCAACCACAGGCCTGGAAGGGGAATGCCAGTAGTGGTCAGCCTCCATTATCAATATATATATAAATACTAATGGCTCTGCACACCGGGCCTGACACATCCCAGCGCCCAGCCATCTCCCAGCGCAGCATTTTAGCTGCTCTTCCGGTAGGTCAGGGGCTGCCATGACGTTGCTTCCGACGCAGGGGCCGCCGGGAAGCCGAGTCGCCCGCCCTTTCCCCACAGCCATCCATAGACGGGAGGAGGAGGCCGCGGTTGCCAGTCTCGCCGGGTACGGTGAGTAGCGGGACAGTTCCGTTCCAGAGAGCTGCCGCCGGGACGGATGGTCGCTTCGCGTTCACCCACCGGCCGGGCGGGAGGCCCTGGGGGATGAGGGGGAGATTTTTTAATGCGCGATTTGATGACGTAATAACGGTTGGCGCTGCCGCTGACAGGACTGGAATGAGAGGGGTTCGCCGGGGCGGTCTGAGGGGAGCGGACAGCCTGGTTTAGGAGTGGTAGAGGCGTAGGGAGGGACGGGGCCGCTGGCTGATTTTGGCGGAATGCCGGCTTCCCGCTTGGGACCTTGGGGGGTCCCGGATGAAGAGGATGGCAGGGGAGAGTAGGCCTTCCGGTTCTCCGATCCGATGTGATTGGGTGGAAGCTGAGGCCGGCAGCGAATGAGGGATGAGTGGGCGGGGCGAGGATGGAGAGGAGAGCAGTGACAGCTGATGGAAGTGTACCCACGTGTGGGATGAACATGACGGCTCCCGACTTCCTGGGACACGTCCTCTGCAGGCATAAACGCAGGGGGGCCCGGGCTTCCAGGGACGCGTCCTCTGCAGGCATAAACGCAGGGGGGCCCGGGCTTCCAGGGACGCGTACTCTGCAGGCATAAACGCAGGGGGGCCCGGGCTTCCAGGGACGCGTACTCTGCAGGCATAAACGCCAGGGGCCCCGGGCTTCCAGGGACGCGTCCTCTGCAGGCATAAACGCAGGGGGGCCCGGGCTTCCAGGGACGCGTCCTCTGCAGGCATAAACGCAGGGGGGCCCGGGCTTCCAGGGACGCGTCCTCTGCAGGCATAAACGCAGGGGGGCCCGGGCTTCCAGGGACGCGTCCTCTGCAGGCATAAACGCAGGGGGGCCCGGGCTTCCAGGGACGCGTCCTCTGCAGGCATAAACGCAGGGGGGCCCGGGCTTCCAGGGACGCGTCCTCTGCAGGCATAAACGCAGGGGGGCCCGGGCTTCCAGGGACGTGTCCTCTGCAGGCATAAACGCAGGGGGGCCCGGGCTTCCAGGGACGCGTCCTCTGCAGGCATAAACGCAGGGGGCCCCGGGCTTCCAGAGACGCGTCCTGTGCAGGCATAAACGCAGGGGGCCCCGGGCTTCCAGGGACGCGTCCTGTGCAGGCATAAACGCAGGGGGCCCCGGGCTTCCAGGGACGCGTACTCTGCAGGCATAAACGCAGGGGGGCCCGGGCTTCCAGGGACGCGTCCTGCGCAGGCATAAACGCAGGGGGGCCCGGGCTTCCAGGGACGCGTCCTGCGCAGGCATAAACGCAGGGGGGCCCGGGCTTCCAGGGACGCGTCCTGCGCAGGCATAAACGCAGGGGGGCCCGGGCTTCCAGGGACGCGTCCTGCGCAGGCATAAACGCAGGGGGGCCCGGGCTTCCAGGGACGCGTCCTGCGCAGGCATAAACGCAGGGGGGCCCGGGCTTCCAGGGACGCGTCCTCTGCAGGCATAAACGCAGGGGGGGCCCGGGCTTCCAGGGACGCGTACTCTGCAGGCATAAACGCAGGGGGCCCCGGGCTTCCAGGTACGCGTCCTGTGCAGGCATAAACGCAGGGGGCCCCGGGCTTCCAGGGACTCTGTGCAGGATTTGTTTTTGGAAATTATTAAAAATGTCAGTGTTCATAGTTACATAGTTAGTCTGGTTGAAAATAGACAAAAGTCATAATCTTACACCCACAATTGATCTGGAGGAAGGCAAAAAAACCCAGCAAAACTTGATCCTGCAGGGGAAAAAATTCCTTCCTGATCCCCAGAGAGGCAACCGGATATTCCCTGGATCAACTTTACCTATAAATGTTATATCCAGTTATATTCTGTGTATCTAGGAAAGAATCCAGGACTTTCCTACAGCAATCCACTGAGCTGGCCAGAACCAACTCTTGAGGGAGTCTATTCCACATTTTCACAGCTCTCACTGTGAAGAAACCTTTCTGTGTTTGGAGATTAAAACTCTTTTCCTCCAGATGTAAAGAGTGCCCCCTTGTCCTCTGTGATGACCTCAGGGTGAATAACTCTACACCGAGTTCACTATATGAACCACTGATGTATTTATACATGTTGATCATATCCCCCCTTAATCTCCTCTTCTCAAGAGAGAATAAATTCAGTTCCTCTAATCTTTCCTCATAGCTGAGCTCCTCCATGCCTCTTATCAGTTTGGTTGTCCTTCTCTGTACTTTCTCCAGTTCCCCAATGTACTTTTTGTGAATTGGTGCCCAAAACTGAACTGCATATTCCAGATGAGGTGTTACTAATGATTTGTATCGGGGTAATATGATATCTCTCTGGAGTCTATACCTCTTTTAATACAAGAGAGGATTTTGCTCGCTTTAGAACCCGCAGCTTGGCATTGCATGCCATTATTAAGCTTGTGATCTACCAGAACCCCCAGATCCTTCTCCACCATTGATTCCCCCAGTTGTACCCCCCCTAGTATGTATGATGCATGCATATTCTTAGCCCCCAAGTGCAGAACCTTACATTTATCACCATTAAACCTCATTTGCCACATAGTTGCCCAATTACACAGTGCATTGAGGTCGGCTTGTAGGTTGGAGACATCCTGTAAGGACGTTATTCCACTGCACAGCTTGGTGTCATCTGCAAAGACTGAAATGGGATTTATAATCCCAGACCCTATATTGTTTATAAATATATTAAAAAGTAAGGGTCCAACACTGAACCTTGGGGTACACCACTGACACCCCTAGACCATTCAGAGTATGAATCATTAACCACTACTCTCTGAATACGATCTTTTAGTCAGTTTTCTATCCATTTACATACAGATTTTTCCAAGCCCGTAGACTTTACCTTACACATTAGCTGTGTGTGGGGAACTGTGTCAAACGCTTTTGCAAAATCCAAGTATACCACATCTACCACCACCCCTCTGTCCAAGTATACCACGTCCACCACCGCCACCCCTCTGTCCAAGTGTACCACGTCCACCACCGCCACCCCTCTGTCCAAGTATACCACGTCCACCACCACCACCCCTCTGTCCAAGTATACCACGTCCACCACCACCACCCCTCTGTCCAAGTATACCACGTCCACCGCCACCCCTCTGTCCAAGTATACCACGTCCACCGCCACCCCTCTGTCCAAGGTTTTGCTCACCTCCTCAGAAAAAAATCAGATTTGTTTGACAACTTCTGTCTTTCATGAATCCATGCTGTCTGTTGCTTAAAATATTTTTGTCCAGCAAGAACTCATCTATGTGGTCTTTTATTAAACTCTCCAGTATCTTCCCAACTATAGACCTTAAACTAACAGGTCTATAATTACTTGGTAAAGATTTTGACCCCTTTTTAAATATTGGCACCACATTGGCCTTTACGCCATTTCAGTGGTACTATGCCAGACATTAAAGAGTCCCTACAAATTAGAAACTAATGGCTTTGAAATGACAGAGCCCATTCCTTTAAGGACCCGTGGGTGTATGCCATCCGGTCCAGGTGCTTTATTCATCTTTATACTGTGTAAATATTTTTGGATCATATCAATTGTCAGCCAATGTGGATCATCTGGAGTTGTGTCAATACCATGCCCATTATGGACAAGAGCTCCCCCATACTCCTTTGTATACACAGAGCTGAAGAAGGTATTAAATACATTTGCCTTCTCTTTGTCCCCAGTCACCCACTCTAGATTACTTTGTAAAGGGCCTACATGCTCGGATCGGACCTTTTTACTATTGGTATATTTGAAGAATTTTTGTATGTGCAATATCACTATTTTTGTTTCTTAAAACTGAACATCCAGATAGCATTACATACATTTTAATACAGCTCTGTATTCATTAATACATCATTAAATGCATCACAGAGGAACTTTTACAGGCTAAAAAAAAGCAAAAACAGCTCAACGCCTGTAAAAGTGGAGGTTTTTTTTAAAGTGTTACTAAACCCACAGCAGTAAAATCAGTCTGTATATGCAGTAAAGCATGCTTGTTATACTCACTGTGGAACCTAAGGGGTTAATCCTCTGCATTGTGTAAAAAGGCTGTTTGATTCGACCTTCTCTGATCCTCCCTTTCTTCCCGTATCTCCCTCTTATCTTCTGAAAAGACATGTCATGTGGAGTCACTCTGCACATGCTCAGTTTGGTGTGTATTGCTAGAGTTTTTGTTTTTTTCTTTGGAGACTGCATGTGATCAGCACAGGGCCAATCAGCACTGTCCAGACAGAAATCGGGGGTTCTGCATCCTCCTAGAGAAGAATGAAAAATACTCTTACAAGTTTTAACCAGTGCTCTGCTGGACACTGATAGAAGTCACAAGACTGCTGATGAGAAGAAGTATTTAGCAGTTTATATTTACTAAAATAATTGCACTTCCGTGTACTGTGGGAGACCAGATATAGTGAATGCAGGGTCCTGGGTTTAGTAACAATTTAAGCTCCATGTACTTGAAGCCTTATAAGTTCCAATAATACCTCTCAGCCCTGCCAGAAAATAAGCAAGCTCCCAGCTTTCTGCAGTTAGCTGATAACACAGTGCCTCTGCAGCACTGAAATCCTTAGCAGTGTTATCAGTTCTGCTCAGTTCTCCCTCTTTTGCTGGACTACAGAACACCTCTTTGTTGTGAGGAGGAGCGGTTTTGATGTCCAGCTTACAAAAAGCAGCCTTGGGAGACAACATTGCTCCTTCATACAGTAGATACAGTACAGCGAGTGGACTTGGAGTGTGTTACTGGGAATAAAAAGAAAACTAATGCAGCCACCAAGGACTGATCAGCTGCAATATAGTACATTATTCTTGGGTTTAGATATACTATACCTAGTCCATGACCGCCATATAGCAGATGTACTGCTACAGGGCGGCCACTCTGTGCAAAATCACGTGTGTGTGTGTGTGTGTGTATATATGTGTATATATATGTATTTGTGTGTGTGTGTGTGTGTGTGTATGTATATGTGTGTATATATGTATATATTGATTTTGCACCTCTTGGTCGAGGGGGCACGCCGCTTCTGCTATTGGTCACATGGCAGAGCTCTGTCCTGCCAGTGGCGATGTGCAGGATTTTGTTTCCCTACGAAGCAGGGAATAAAATCCAGCAGATTACACCACCTAGTAAACAAAAAAATCAATGGTTAGTCACACCGTTAACCCTTTGATCAACCCTAGATGTTTAACCCCTTTCCAGCCAGTGTCAATAGAGTGACAGTGTATATATGTAGCACTGATCACTGTATTAGTGTCAAATTGTCCCCTGCTATAAGTCGCTGACCACCTCCATTACTAGATTAAAAAAAAAAAAAAATTCCAGTATACAGTAGATAGAAAAAGTCTACACACGCCTGTTAAAATGTCAGGTTTCTATGATGTAAAAGAACGAGACAAAGATAAATCTATTCAGAACTTTTTCCACCTGTAATGTGACCTATAAACCGTACAACTCAAACTGAAATCTTTTAGCGGGGGAAGTAAACATAAAAAACTAAAATAATGTGGCTGCATAAGTGTGCACATCCTCTTATAACTGGGGATGTAGCTGTGTTCAGAATTAAGCAATCACATTCAAAATCATGTTAAATAGGAGTCAGTACACACCAGCCAACATTTTAAAGTGCCTCTGATTAACCCCAAATTAAGTTCAGCTGTTCTAGCAGGTCTTTCCTGACATTTTCTTAATCGCATCCTACAGCAAAAGCCATGGTCCTCACAGAGCATCCAAAGCAGCAGAGGGATCTCATTGTTAAAAGGTATCAGTCAGGAGAAGGGTACAAAAGAATTTCTAAGGCATTCGATATACCATGGAACACAGTGAAGACAGTCATCATCAAGTGGAGAAAATATGGTACAACAGTGATATTACCAAGAACTGGACGTCCCTCCAAAATTGTTGAAAGGACGAGAAGAAAACTGGTCTGGGTGGCTGCCAAGAGGCCTACAGCAACATTGAAGGAGCTACAGGAATATCTGGCAAGTACTGGCTGTGTGGTACATGTGACAACAATCTCCCGTATTCTTCATATCTCTGGGCTATGGGGTAGAGTGGCAAGACGGAAGCCTTTTCTTACGAAGAAAAACATCAAGCCCAGCTAAATTTTGCAAAAACATATCTGAAGTCTCCCAAAAGCATGTGGGAAAATGTGTTTATGGTCTGATGAAACCAAGGTTGGACTTTTTTTTTTTTTCCATAATTCCAAAAGATATGTTTGGTGTAAAAACAACTCTGCGCATCACCAAAAGAACACCATACCCACAGTGAAGCATGGTGGTGGCGGTATCATGCTTTGGGCCTGTTTTTCTTTAGCTGGAACTGAGGAGGGAATTATGAACACTTCCAAATACCAGTCAATATTGGCACAAAGCCTTCAGGCTTCTGCTAGAAAGCTGAACATAAAGAGGAACTTCATCTTTCAGCATGACAATGACCCAAAGCATACATCCAAATCAACAAAGGAATGGCTTCACTAGAAGATGAAAGTTTTGGAATGGCCCAGGCAGAGCACCTGAATCCGATCGAAAAATCTGTGGGGTGATGTGAAGAGCTGTGCACAGGAGATGCCTTCGCAGTCTGACAGATTTGGAATGTTTTTTGCCATGAAGAGCGGGCAAATATTGCCAAGTCAAGATGTGCCATGCTGATAGACTCATACCTCCACCTCCCTCACCCGCTCAACACCCTCCCGCCTCCACATCCTACTGCAACCCCCACAACTTAGTATCTGTCCCCCTGCTCCCTAAAATCTCCCCCCCCGTTTTCATGTGCACTCCTGAACGCCCGTTCGGTGTGCAACAAGCTTACCGCCATCCACGACCTCTTTGTTTCCCGCTCCCTCAACCTCCTAGCGATCACGGAAACCTGGATCCAGCCCACTGATTCTACCTCCCCTGCTGCACTCTCCTACGGAGGTCTCACCTGGACCCACTCACCCAGGCCTAACGGTCGTAAAGGTGGTGGGGTTGGTCTGCTCCTGTCACCGCAGAGCACCTTCCGAGTCCTCCCAAACCCCCCCTCCCTATCCTTCTCCTCCTTCGAGGCCCACTGCCTCCGACTATTCTCCCCAACCCCCCTGAAGATTGCTGTGATATACCGGCCTCCTGGATCCATACCACGCTTCCTGGATGACTTCTCCTCCTGGCTACCCTTCTTCCTCTCCTCTGAGCTACCCACCATCATTCTTGGGGATTTCAACATCCCTGTCAACCTCGACAACCCGGACACAGCCCGTCTCCTCCACCTAACCTCCTCCTTTGCACTTGCACAGTGCATACAATCCACCACCCACTCCGACGGAAATATCCTGGACCTTGTCTTCTCCAACCGCTGCGCTCCCCACAACCTCACTAACACCCCCTTCCCTCTCTCTGACCACAACCTGATCACCTTCTCTATCTCCTCGTCCTCCAACGCCTACCCCTCCAAATGTCACACTACTACCAGCCGTAACCTCCGCAACCTTAACCCTGCCTCCCTCCACTCTGCAGCTGATCAACTCCACGACCGCATCCTCCCCCTGTCCTGCCCCGACTTGGCTTTGACCGCCTACAACAATGCGCTCTCAACAGCCCTTGACTCACTAGCGCCTTTAACCACACGCAACATCAGACCCCGACCGCTCCAGCCCTGGCAGACTGATCACACCAAAACCCTCAAACGACACAGTCGTGCCCTGGAGCGACTATGGCGCAAAACCAAATCCCAACAAGCCTTCACCCGCTACAAATCTGCCTTCCGCACCTACACCTCCTCCCTCCATGCTGCCAAACAGGCCTACTTCTTGACCCTCATCAAGGCCCTCTCCTCCAATCCTCGCCGACTCTTCTCTGCCTTCAACTCTCTACTCTCTCCACCCCCACCTCCACCCAGCACCTCACTCACTGCCCTTGAGATTGCCAATCACTTCAAAAACAAAATTGACACAATTCGCAAGGACATTGCCGCAACTCACACGCCCTCTCAACCCGTCCCCTCTCACACAGCTACCCCCTATCCCCCCCTACCCCCTCGACATAGCCCGCAGGGACTTCGTCGCTGCTCAAACTCTCTCCAACCCCCTTCACCCTCACTCAGCTACCCCCTCATCACCCCTCTCCCACGGCCCCACCACTGCTCTGACCTCCTCTTCCACCCCACCCTACATTCCTCATACTGAAGCTCCCCCAACACTCCA